CCCCCTGACAGACGAACCGACCCAACGCAACTGGATCATCACGGCCTTCAACCTCACCTCCTCCGCCTTCCTGCCCATCTTTGCCCAGCTCGCCGACGTCTTTGGCCGGTTCGCGACCCTGCAGACGGCCCTGGTCATCATGACGATCGGCTCGGCCGTCTGCACGGGCTCGCCGACCCCCGACGCCTTTTCGCTGTTCCTGTTCGGCCGCGCCCTGCAGGGCGTCGGCGCCGCGGGCATCAACATGTGCGTCCGCACCATCCTGGCCGACCGCGTCTCGCTCGCCGAGTACGCCACCAACTGGACCACGTTTGCCATGGTGTCCGGCATCAGCTTTGGCACGGGCCCCGTGGCGGGGGGCTATCTGACGCAGGTCAGCTGGCGGTGGTGTTTTGCCATCAATCTGCCCGTGGCCGTGGTCGGGATTGCGTTGGTCGTTTGGTTGTTGAGGGGTGAGTTGGTGGGGGCGCAGCCGCTTGAGGGGGTGACGGGCGGCAGGATTGGGGAGAGGGATGTGAGGACCAAGACGGGAAGGTTTTTGACGAGGCTGGCGACGCTGGATTATGGCGGACAGGTTTTGTTTCTTTTGGGGGTTGGGTTGTTGGTCTTGGCGTTTACGTGGGCCGGTGGCGACTATGCTTGGGATTCGGCCGCGGTGGTGGTGACGATGGTGCTCGGGGTGGTGTTGACGGTCGCGTGGCTGGTGTATGAGTGGGCGATGGTGCCGGGGAGGTTGATGGCGAGGGTGTTTCCGCTGCAAAAGGCCATGATGCCCTGGGAGCTGCTGATGCAAAGGGATATTGGGTTGCTGGTGGGCATCAACTTCGCCACTGGCGGCGCCATGTTTGCCATCATGTATTCCATGGACCTTTACTTCACCTTGGTCCAGGGACACGGCGCCGGAACGGCTGGCACGGCGCTGCTCTACTTTTTGCCCGGATTGGGTGGTAAGTCCGACGTTCTGTTCCTGAGCTTTTGGGGGCCCTTACTGATGATTGTGGTGTAGCCGGCGTCTACAGTGCCATATTCCTCGTCAACGTTTGGCCACGGCAGACGATCTCCGCCTTATTTCTCGGAACCATCAGCTCTGCGGTTGGCATTTCCGTGATTACATGGGCTTGCCACACTGAGTACACAAACCTCATCTATGGCATGATGGCACTCACAGGATTTGGCGTGGGCATGAACGCCAACCCTGGAACACTGCACGGCCTGGCGTACTTTCCGGGCATGACGGCGCCCATTACCTGCCTGGCTACTTTCGCCATCCCGTTCGGCGGCACCATCTCATTGACCATCATGTCAACCGTGTTCAACAACAAGAGTGGAATCAACCATGCCGACCCCAAGTCGGGCATTGTTTGGGGATTTGTCGCCGTGATTCCCATCATGTGGATGTCGGTTTTGATCACGACCTTTTTGGGCAACGTGTGGCTCGGGAAGGACGGCAACCATCAAGTCGTTCATGGTTCGTGGTTTTGGAACATGCTCAGGGGTAAACGTCTCGAGAGGGTGACAATCGCGAGGATGGAGGATGTCACATCGGCTGCTGGGAATAGAGATATCGGGATGAAGGCCGTTCCTCAGGGCAGAGCGGAGGTGGGGGCGGATATTGAACGGGGAAGGTAGAATAGGGGTTATCAATGATTGGCACCTCCGTTTATTACAGAAACCTCTTCTCCTAGTCATAGATGAATACTGTCAACAAACTAGATAAATAGATGTATCATTCTGTTCACACTTGGCGGTCGTTCCTGGATCTATCTACCTACCTACCTAGCTCGAGCCTACGGATACCTAAAGTTAGTCGACACAGGTTGGTTGTAAGTTGTAACCCTTGATTTGCCCGACTGCCCATTTCGTCATGATGATTCAACCACCACTGACGTCACTTATCCCTTGTCTAAAAGGGGTCTCAACGATCCGATATCTGTCACTTCAGGGCCTCAAAGCATCATACCAACAACGACAAAAGCTCGCAAAGATGCCATCTGAACTAAAAGATAAGAACGAAGAGCCCATCAAGGAGGGGGACCACGTTTTTGCCCTCGCGCGCGGCGGCAGACACGAGGGCAATGTCGAAAAGATTGTGACGTCCAAAGAGCAAGCTAGGGAGGAGGGCGTCAAGCATCCCCCAAAAGTAAGCATGCATGTGCATACAACTCAACCCTCGACGTCACGTACATCGGGTGCTGATTTCCATCTCAAAGATCCTTTTCACCGACCAACATGGGCATCATGTTCAACACAATCCTGGGGCGTTGCAACATGGGGAGTACAAGAAATGAATGGAATTGTCACGAGCGGGTTGGGCTGGGTTCTACGAGCCCATAGAGTAAATTGGGAATCCGCCGAAACATAATTGACGGGTGACTAGTCTAGTGGTCAGGACGCTTCGTTGTGGTCTCCAATGGACCCCAACTGAACCGAAGAAACCCCGGTTCGATTCCGGGGTCGCCCACAGTTTTTGCTGATGTCGTCGGGTGTGTAATCTGTCAAACAAAATCCACTTGTTTTTTGTAGACGGGCTTATAAGGGGGTACGGAAATACCTGGCTCAAACAAGCTCCAGTTACAAACTAGGTAATAACCAATGTATCTAATAACACGGATAGATATATATATGATTTGGATAGAGCTTCTCTTAACAGGACCTTACTTAGCCCAAGGGACTTTCGAGTTGGACACTTTGACTGACGCATATTCCGGAATCATCTCTTCACATGCATTGAGATCGGTCGTCCATGTTTTCTAACTCAGGGGCCCATCCGCATTCGTCGCATCCCAATCTGATTGGGGTCCGACAATGGATCGACATCGCCAGACCAGTCATCAACTGGCCTTCCCCAGCGGCCCAAAAATAATCATTCTCAGTACCGTGGAAATGGCGATCAAGATGTGACGTGTGCTCGAGCCACTTCCAGTCATCCAATGAATCTAAAAGCCTTCCCAGGCTTGGCTGTCTCCTGACCAACATCTTCGCCTTTGGTTCGATAAACATGCAACCACGTCCATTCCCTTGTTCCACTGTTAGTTTGACTCAGCTTCTTCTTTTGTTAATTCACAAGAATATCATGTTGGACGTCACTCGAGATCACGTTCAGCTGCCGCCTCACACGCCCTGGGTGTAACCGCTCTCGAGCTTCTCCGGGTCAGCATTCGACCGCCTTTTCCCATGATGTGAATGATCCGCATATCTCTTCTAGTTGACAGGTCAGGAGACGAGGGCCGGCCGATGTATTAGGACGGTTGCTAATTAAGTCTTGACGCTGATCTTCGGAAAGCCCGAGCCTAGAAAACCATAAAAGGGGTGAGACTCTTGCCTCCTAGATTCAAAGTTCCCATCCCCATTTCAATCACCTAACAACCCAAATCAGAGATTCTCAACCTTGGCTAATAACCAAACTGTTCTCAACATCTTTCGACACCCAAAATGCAGCCCAAGTCCCTCCTCTTCCTCACCACCCTCCTCACTGCGGCGGCTGCCGGCCCAGCCACGCCGCCCACAGCCAAAAAACAAGAACAACAACGCGGTCCCCGCTGCCGTTGCCCGTGACACCAATGACGCCGCCGGCGACGACGATGGCATGAGCACCCAGGCAACCTACGACTGGCAAGCAAAGGGCGGATGCAAGACCGACTGGGCGGACCGCTGCAACTCCCAGTGCCGCGGGGAGGCGGCCCAGAGGAGCTGGGTGTGCAAGGAGATTGACTCGGATATCACGAGTTCTGGGTGCCTCGTCGGTTGGAACACCTGCGACTGTACCTGCTACTGGTAAACGGGGCGGGGGTTAACATGGGGCGGTTTGGTCATTCATTATAGGACACTCGAGGGTCTGTTTCGGGTGGTTTTTTGTATTATCCGGTTGTTGAGATGGTTGAGGCAGATGCGTGCAACCATTATGCTTTGGTCAGGCTGCTCAGGTTAGATTTGATAGTCTCGAGTTGACTGGCACGTTTCGTTGTTCAGAATGTTGTCTCTTGGTAACAGGTTCGAGACATTGGACACAGAATATTCTATGTAAATTTTATCACTTGACAATCACCGAATTCTAATTCTCTCAAGGCTAGATTCTGGTACTCTAATCAAGCATTCTCAGTTTACATGTGGACCAGACTCACACAATCCTACCTGTTGTCTGTCCCTGCGGTCCAAAAATTAGTCTCGCCCAGGATGGTGTTTAGAGGCCTCGTTTATCCATTGTCACATTACCGAACTGTGGGAGAACTTGGCTACATATCTTGACAGAGAACCTAATCTCGCATACAGCTGGCAGTTCCTGGATGGGGGACCTCGGAGTAAGCCAAGAACTGAGCCCGTCACTTGCCGAAGCCTCTCCTCCCTCGGCCAGAACAACAGGCTGAATTGAGTGCCCGAAGACGTCAACGGTTAACGGTTAGACGACCGGGTCGCTGTCACCACGCCCCACTTCGAAGCAGGGTAAAGGTGAGCAGCCCCAGTCCGGGGGGGAGCGGCTTTCTCCATCCCCCGCATAACCCCATGTTCCCAGGCTAGCCAGGTTCCCCAACCGCTGCGGAGAAATTCTAGAGGTGGAAAAACACCGTCGCCACGAGATGAGGATCCGTTGACTTCGTCTTGGCAGAGGGGAACCAAGGAGGTCGATTTTAGGATAAATTGGTTTGTGGAAATCGAGAGCTTGGCACCAGGGGCAATGCCATTCTCGTTTCCGGTGTTGTGGAAGCATTTATACAACGGGGACGATCCCTCAGCAATCCATCATGACGTCCCACCGACATCCCGCACAAGCACTCACTCAACCATGCGGAGCTTACTGCTGCTCGCGGCCATTGGCCTGGCTGCCGCAGAGGACGGCCTCAGTGGCTGGCTGCGGTATGCCCCGATCAAGGGCGCAAAGGGTTGCCACAGCAAGCTTCCCTCTGCCATCCTCACCCTGAATGCGACCGAGGGATCCCCAGTCTACACGGCAGGCCAGGAGCTCTCGCAGGGCATCAGCGGCATCTTCGGCAAGGAATTGGAGCTCAACGCGGCCGAGACTCGCCACGGCAACGGCCGCGACACCACGGCCACAGTAGGCACCGTCCACGCCTACGTCGACAGCAACCCCGACGCTGCAGCCCGTCTTCCGGAGCTGGTCGACGACGGCTTCTACCTCGACGTCTCGCGCGGAAAGGTCCTGATTCTTGGACAGAATGAGCGTGGCGCACTGTACGGTGCTTTCCACTACCTCTCTGTGCTCGCCCAGGGCAACTGCTCCGACTTCACCCTGACCTCCAACCCCGATGCGCCGATCCGGTGGGTGAACCAGTGGGACAACATGCAGGACGGCGGCACCCACGGCAGCGTCGAGAGAGGCTACGGCGGCGACTCCATCTTCTTCTGGGACGGCAAGGTCCGCGACGACCTGACCCGGGCTGCCCAGTATGCCCGCCTGCTCGCCTCGATTGGCCTCAATGCTGTTGTCGCCAACAACGTCAATGCCGACGCGAAGACGTTGACCCCCGAGAACATGGACGGCCTGGCGCGGATTGCCGATGTCTTCAGACCGTACGGCGTCCAGCTCGGCGTGTCACTCAACTTCGCCGCTCCCGAAACCCTCGGCGGGCTCTCCTCGTTCGACCCATTGGACGAAACCGTCATCAACTGGTGGCAGGGCATCACGGACGCGCTCTACAAGAGAATCCCCGACATGGCCGGCTACCTCGTCAAGGCCAACTCGGAAGGGCAGCCCGGGCCCATGACCTACAACCGGACCCTGGCCGAGGGTGCCAACATGTTTGCCCACACACTGAAGCCCTACGGCGGCATCATCCTCTTCCGCGCTTTTGTGTACGACCACCGCACGCTCAACCAGACGCTGGACTGGAAGGCCGACCGCGCCAATGCCGCGGGCAACTACTTTGACGGTCTCGACGACAAGTTCGAGGACAACGTGGTGATCCAGATCAAGAACGGGCCCATCGACTTCCAGGTCCGCGAGCCCGTCTCGCCGCTCTTCTCGCACCTGGTCAAGACGGGCGCCGCCATCGAGCTACAGGTCTCGCAGGAGTACCTCGGCCAGCAGGCCCATCTGGTGTACCTCGCCCCCATGTGGAAGGAGATCCTGGACTTTGACTTCCGCGTCGACGGCAAGCCCTCGCGCACGTCGGACATTGTGGGCGGCAAGCGCTTCCCGCGCAAGCTCGGCGGCTACGCGGGCGTCGTCAACGTCGGCACCAACACTACGTGGCTCGGCAGCCACCTGGCCATGTCCAACCTGTACGCCTACGGCCGGCTCGCGTGGGACCCGTCGGCCACCTCGGAGGGGATTCTCCAGGAGTGGACCAAGCTGACCTTCAGCGACGACAAGAAGGTCCTCGACGTCATCACCAAGCTGTCGATGGAGTCCTGGCCGGCGTACGAGAACTACTCGGGCAACCTGGGCATCCAGACCCTCACCGACATCCTGCTTGGCCACTACGGCCCCAACCCGGCCTCCCAAGACGGCAACCCGTGGGGCCAGTGGACGCGGGCCGACGCCGACACCATCGGCATGGACCGCACCGTCTGGAACGGCACCGGCTTCTCGGGCCGTATGTCAAACCTGTGCCCTTTCTTCCCCCTTATGGCTGTCTCGGGAGCCGTTGCGCTCCCAAAACGGCTAGTGTGCTCCCGAACTGCTCCCGAGACACCCCAAAAAGGAATTATTTGACTGATATTGTTGATTAGAGTACCCGCCGGAGATCGCCGCCATGTACGAAGACGTGGCCACGACGCCGGACAACCTCCTGCTCTGGTTCCACCACGTGCCCTACACCCAAGTCCTAAAATCCGGCAAGACGGTCATCCAGCACTTTTACGACGCGCACTACGCGGGCAGCGCCACGGCGCAGACCTTCCCGGAGCTCTGGAAGACGCTCAAGGGCCGCATCGACGACGAGCGGTACGAGCACGTGCTGTACCGGCTCGTGTACCAGGCGGGCCACTCCCTGGTGTGGCGCGACAGCGTCAACACGTTCTACTTCAACAAATCAGGCATTGCCGACACCGGGGGGCGCGTGGGCAACCACCCGTACCGCATCGAGGCCGAGGACATGACGCTGGCCGGGGGCTACCGGCGGTACGACGTGTCGCCGTTTGAGGCCGCCAGCGGGGCCCGGTGCATCGTCACGGCCGACAACTCGACGACCGGAACGGCCAGCACCGTGCTGCGCGATGTTAAGACGGGCAAGTATGACGTGGCCGTCAACTACTACGACATGGCGCTCGGAAACGCCACGTGGGAGTTGTATGTGGGCTGTAAGCGGGTGGGCAGGTGGAAGGGCGACTTGGAGTATAACCTGGGCCGCGCGCCGTCGCCGTACATCGACGGCCAGACAGCGTCGCGCGTCACGTTCAGGGGCGTCAAGATCAAGAAGGGGAGCACCCTGAAGATTGTCGGCCGGCCGGATGGGCTGGAGCCGGCGCCCGTGGATTACATTTCGATTTTGCCCGAGGGAATTG